AATAAGTTTTCCTTGAATTAGTAACCCAGTTATATAGTACTAGAATATATATATAATATTCCAAAGGTAGTAGTCAGCATGTCCACAAGCACAACCACTGGTTCTATCATCACTCTCAATAACTCATGTTTACATGAGTTTAAATCAGTGACCAAATTTTCACCAGATCTTGAGAAATAGTCCTATTTAATTAGTGATAAGGTTCAGTCAGCACATACATCTTAGGCGATAAAAATGAGTTCGTTGATACGATCAGCAGCGGCTGACCTTCTCGAGCTTTCGACGTCATATGATGTCAAATCTCGTCTTTCTTTCACGTCTCACGTCTCAATCTCTTCACCTTCATCTCGACATTCTTCGAATCTCGTTGCACCACATTCTACACGACCACATGAACTACTTAGTTCACATAACACATAGTGTAATATAGTACGCATATTTTGTGCATTTATCAAACTGGAATAAATAAAATCCGGATATATGTTTCTTAACATAGCAGAGCACACTAACAACAATAATCACCTCATACGTTCTCGGTTTTGCTCCTGGTAGGACAGCACAAGATCAAATTCGTGCGATTGATAGCGTAGATTTTAAGAGTGAAGCCTTTTTTGTTTGGGGTACACGGCAACCCCGTTGCACTTGGAAGCAATCGTAGTCAATCCCACGACCGAGTCGTGACAGGACTCTATGCGAGATGTAAATTAATCTTCGAGCTTCAGCCTCGAGACAAATATGCTTTTGTTTATATTGAGTCCCGATGGGACCAGGAAACTAGCAGCCATAGAGCTGGATGTGGTAATCACTCATCTGCCACTCACCAATCTTAGAACGTTCTTGTTGGGTACATTAGGAGCGCCTTCACTGGGTATTAGTGGCGAAGGAGATGATTTCTATTGTGAGACATCTGATTTTAAACGTTCAATGCTTTGGGCGCTAGAATAAAAAGATATTTTATTCCGAATAAGATGATCTCGGGATTTGTCTTGCTTCAGACAGGTCAACACCGCGCCTCACTTGTGATCTTGGTATCACACAATAATGAGAACCTTCTAGGCATACCCAACGTGGTACGGAAGTGACAGTGTCCGCACCGCATGATGAGGCGTATCGGGTACGTCGAAAACTCTTATTCATCCCATGAGAGGCGAGAGCTGGCTGGCTATGTTTCAAACATAAAAAAATCATTCTGCAATGACATCTGGCATTCTAGTAGAGGTATGAATCGTCACGAATGGTTTTTGAGCGGGTGTAGCTTGCACCAAGGCTTTCCGTGGCCACCATACCTAGCCTGAAGAAGTGGAGGCACCGAATTCTATACAGAGTACAAATGTCGTGCTGCAAGGACAATATGGGATGCTAAAAATATGGGTTCTACGAGCATGCCAGAGACGGTGATTCTCAACTTTACTGAGAAAGAAGTAAAAGATGTCTTTGCTGCAGAGCAGCTCACCGATACCCGCATATTTCATCTGCAGTATTTAAACCATTTGTGCTTTGTGTGCCTTCATACTCTTGGCTGAGGGGTACAAAGGGTCAAAAACCTACACAATAGCGAACGCCAAACCCCTCGCAGGTAAACGATAAGTCGCAGTAGGCGCAGGCGGCTTCTAGGAGCTGAGATTGTATGGATTAATAGAAACCTGTCCGACAAGGTGTAATGCTCAGAGTTGTTGTTTATTGATATCAGAGTACCGGGTCTCGTGAAGCTGTGAAATCCCCGCTTTTGCATTCAGAAGCACCTGAATTTTGTACGACGAGCAGAAAAATGTGCGCAGAGATATTGAAGATAAGATCATGACACTGTGCATCTTGCATCGAGGACTCTAGAAAAGGTACCGATGTTTGTGTGAGACTTTCAAGCAAAGATTGAGGGTCTTGACAGGTTGGCTCTTGATAGTGTTGGACCTAAATTCAAGGTACGGTCTCATTCTCGGTATTGCGCGGCAGAAACACCACGAGCCATGGGTCGACTGAAAGTTAAAAAATTGGTATCACGAATTTCTCTCCTGGTAGAGCTATATCGAGTCACGAATTCTTCCGGTAGGAAGAAGAAGCGCCTTTGAATCGAACTCAAAGCTCCGGTAGCTTTCGTGCAGAACATGAAAGTGTCATGAAACGACGACAATTATATCACTAGGTGCTTCTTGTAGAGTTCGAAAGGCAGAAGTGGCAATGAGCCGATGTCACAGAATAAGACATAAGAGAGCGACCACAAATCGCGGCTCTGAGAGTGTGTCTCACTGAGGCGACAGTTAGCTACTTTATATCATCGTTCCCAAAGTGAATCTCTGGCTGAATGGTAGAACAGCTGTGAGTTGTGCTGTCGGGGCGTTTATATGTGAAAGCGATTTGGGTTCATAATTCCACGTGGCAAAGTCGGTGATATTGTAGAGCGACTATTATTCGCAAATAGTAGAGCTGTTGTCTGTGGATGGCGCATCCTTATCACGATATGACAGGACTGAGTCAACACTACCGTGTGGAGGGCTCACATTGTGGAACAGAGAATCTGAACGAATAAGTAACGAAAACGACCATTAGCTCGTGAATGGAGTGACCGTGGCAGTTCTAGGAAGGTAAGTCTTTTCTCATTAGAAGCTCTTGTAGAGCTGGTATAGTAATTACTCGATGAGAATTGCAAGAAATTGCAGATGGTAAGTAGACCGAATTGGTACAGTTGGTACAGGAAGACATGCTGAGCTTGCCATTCAGCATAGAAGAATTTCCTTTGTTGAAAGGGTATAACGAGTTCGTGACGAGAGATCTATCATGTGTGTTACATTCGGGGTATGGGAGTGAATCACAAATTGACTTAGTTCCCGAAGCTAAAGACTGCGTCACATGGTGCATTCACGTTTTTTTTTTTTTT